TGTTGAGGGAGGGGGATGGATCTGGGTGGGCTGAGCGGTTGAACACAGGACCTGTTCTTTTTCATCTTGAGGTTAAATTGGACTCATTGAAATAGGCTATCTCGGCTTCAGTAGAAGCAGAGTGCTTGCTTTGTGATAAGCACAGGCTGGATATCGGAGGATTAACTTACGGAATCTTTCTAGGAGCCTCACGAGGCAGGTATTGTCCCATTTTACAGATAGTAAGTTTTCGTGCACTTTAATCTAATGCCTGTAGTGAAGATATTGGACTTTGAACCAGGGAAGCAGGGTGTGAGTCCTACAGCCGAGCTGGGCTTGCCCCCCAGGTCCCCCGGGTGACTTCCAGCTTACAGTAAAGCACTCCATGAACACTGTGTTGTCTGTACGATCGCAGCTTCCGTGAGGCGGAATCATGGATCCCAGTGCTATCTGAGCACCGATATGGGAGCTCTGCATGCTGGTAATTGAAGTGTGGTCATGCCATGGGACACAGACGCCATATTCCTTAGTTAAAAATTCTTGCTTTGGGGAAAATCTTCATATTGAAGCCAAATTCTCATACTGTAGGTTAAAACTGTTTGCTGTGCTCTGTCTTTGGCAGGAATGGAAAAATGCTGTCCATTGCTCTTGGCCGGGTGGTGCTTAACGTGATGTCCCACCGTGGCCCCGTCCTTGCTTCCTCTTCCCCAGGTTAAATGTGCCCTGTGACTTTCACACTTTGAGTTAGGTTTCAGGGCGCTCTACAACTTCTCCTTTTGATCCTTTCCCTTTTTTAAGAAACATTTTCCCCCAGGAGGGTAGAGCCCTTAGATCGCTTTGAGCCTGGCCGATATTTATGATGGCATAGTCAGGGTCTGCAGCGTGAAGAAGGGAACCTGGGTGAGTGACGAGCTATCCTGAAATACTCCTCCCTGCCGCACTCTTCATGACACTGTCCGCGGGGCCTTTGCCAGGCAGCTGTCCTCGGCTTTCCTGCCCCTGCTCCTCCCTCAGCTCAGGTCCAGAGCCTGCGGCCAGCTGGGCATTGGCTCAGCGACGTGGGGGCCCCGATGGAGTCCAGTGGGTGGGTGTCTGCCTCTTCACTGATCCTCACTTGCGCCATGTGTGGGAGCTGACGTGTTACCCTAGTGAGGGAGCCTGTTGGTTACACAGTGTAAGAACTTCTTGAGAAGGGGCTTGACTTCATTCTACAGAACTCCAGATTCTACCCTCTGAGAGGTCCTTTTAATCTTTGAACCGGCACGCCATTTGTTTGTCCCTGGGAAGAGCACCAGTCCCCACCTCCCCCTTGCGGACCTAGTGTGGGCCTGCAGTGACGTGACGCGTGGTAGGTGCCTGTAAGCTTAGCACATCGTCAGCGCTCAGCAAATGTTGGCTGATTATTTAAAAGTGAGCACAGGTGCTGTGAGAGTAGGAAGTTTGGGGCACTCACCCAGCTTTGAATGGGGATCACAAAAAATTCCCCAAGGTCGTCAAGCCTCCGTGAGTTAGTCAAGAGAAGAAAGGGAAGGCACGGTGTCTCGTGAAGGGCGATGGCCGCAGGGTGTTCACTGTGATGGGCGGACAGCGTTGGGACATGTGTGCAAAGCTGGGCAGGGGGCAGATCTTGGAGGCTTCCGGGAAGTGGGGGGCAGACGGTTAGGTTGATCAGGGTGCTGGGCACCTGCTGACTCGGGGAGGCAGAATTAAGATCTGAGAGTCCTGATGGGACAGGTCTGTCTGGAGAGTGTGAGGGCAAGAGGACAGGTACACAATGTGTGGACATGTGTAACAGGGCTTGCTTGCAAGTTCTCGGCGGCTCGAGGTAGAGCCCGAGGCAGCCGGGTGGGACTTGCCAAGCCTTTGGCGGGCATGTTCCTTTTGAGAAATTGGATTAGGCGGGCTGCATGTGGATTTCTAATAAGGAGAAAGTCTGCCCAAGAAGTAGGAAGAGGGTGTTGTGCGCGTGTGTGTGCTGTTGGCCCAGAGCTCCTGGCTTGGGCGGGGAAGGGCCTGTTCGCCATTTTCCTCTCTTCTCCTGTATGTGATGAAAATACCGCGCTTGTCTGACAGTTACCTTTTGATTAACTTCGTGTCTGGGGTTGCAGAGTTGTTTCTTTTTCTTTTGACTATTTTGTTTTGAAGATTTTATTTATTTATTTGAGAGAGAGAGTGCCTACAAGCAGGGGTCGGACAGAGGGAGAGGAAGAAGCAGACGCCCTGCTGAGCTGGGAGCCCCATGCAGGACTCGATCCCAGGACCCTGAGATCATGACCTGAGCCGAAGGCAGCCGCTTAACCGACTGAGCCACCCAGGCACCCCTTTTTTGACTGTTTTTCTCATTTTCTCATGAGTGGTTAGGAGGCAGAATGTAAATGCACTAGAAGGTGATTTCTCTTGAGAGGACTCTTCTCCCCACCCCTAAGTACATGCACGTAAACACAAAGAACGAAGAGTAGCAACTACGTTTTCTTTCTTTGGCAGCCTGGAGTGGTTTGGTATGCCCCTGGAGGAAGGGTTGTGGAAGTAAGTGTCGATTCATGTCCGAGTGACAGCCAACTGGCATCTGAAGTGACGGTCAGCCTCCCGGAAGGAATAGAGCCATTTCCCTGGCATTTTGTTCAGAGTCTGCCAGATGGCTAGAGAGCATCTCTCCCGCCACCGTGTTGCAGCGCAAGTAAACACATGCACTTCTAAGAAACGTCGTTAGCAGGAGGGGTTCTTTGAAATGTTTAAATAAAGAGCCTTCACTGTATGCTCAGTGTCTTGATTCTTCCCCCTTCTGGTAGAGCAGCCCGTGTTCCTGAAACATCCCTGAATGTTGAAACCATGGAGAGGGAAAGGCGAGCTGCGGCTGCTGGGCTGGCCCTCCCGTGGGGGTAGAGCCCGGGAGGGCACGGCTCAAACACCCCCGTCTCCACCAAGCCTCCCAGGACTGAGCCGGTCTGCCGATGACCTAGCTGCCCTCTGGATCAAACGGAACCCCCTCTAACTGCCCACCTTATGACGGCGAAGAAGCAGGAAATGTGGCTGGTCCATGAGCCGAACCGCAGACGGGGGACGCAGCCAGTGCTTACGCCCTCCTCCCCGCCAGGAGCCAGGACTTTGGAGGAGTGACTGCGTGCAGGGCAGAGACAGGGCAAGCACAACAGGAGCCCAGCTCTTTTAATGCCAGAAAGGAAGGAAAGAAAAGTTAGGAAAATAAGACAATGGTGGGGGGCGCGTTGCACAGATAAAGGAGGTAGGTTTAAGGGGGTGCCCGCTGGCTAGATCTGAGGTAGGTTGAGCACCAAGACGGTGTAGCACAGAGATAAATCATACGCGGCAGGATAAACGTGATCAATTATTGAAAAACTAGAACTTCCTGTGTGGCCACAAGTGGACAAAGAGGTGAGCAAACAATACGGTGCCGAGTAACGAAGGGTAATGTGGAGGGTGTCGGAGCGGCCGTGGCCGCACAGGTCAGCGATGGACGCGAGACCTAGGGGGCATTTTGATGAGGGGCAAGGTCTTTTCCTGGTCTTACAGTATCTCCTCCCTGGTGACGTATTAGCTTCAAGAGAAAAAATAATTTTTTACCAGAGAAATTGGACAGCACTTGGCCTGGGCGGCCAAGGAGGGGCAGGTGGGCCTCCCGCACCTTCAGATGAGACCCCTGGAGAAGAACGCATCACCTCAGTGGTTTCTGGTTGAATTGAATCATGAGGAAACGTCAGACAAGTCAAAACAGAAATGCTTTATTAATACAAAAGAGATGGGGGATGCTAATCTGAACTGCGAAGGCCATGAAAGACCAAAGCAAGCTGTGTTTCGGAATAATGCAGCCAAATGCTATACGCCTGCCCCTGGACTGGATCCTGAATTGGGGGAAGGAGGCTCCATGAAGCGCATCGTGGGGTTAATTGAAGATGGCGATAAAGTACTGGGTTTACCGCCATCTGGGGATATCCCCATTCTGAAGTGTTTAGAGGTGAAGCGCCATGATGTCTGGAACGTACCTCCCCCGGCCCAGAATCGACGCTGTGTGTGTCCGTAGCGAGTCTGCAGCGAGTGAGTGGTCAGGTCCATGGCTGCTGGGTGGTGGTAGGGGCATCTGAGTGAGGCGTACTTGGCGTTCTTTGTACTGTTACTGTTCCGTGACTTTTCTGTAAGCTCGAACTTATTTCCAAATAAAAAGTTAAAAAGAAAAGAAGCAGCCCAGCTGTTATAACTATGACTTAAAGAGAAAAGGAGGGTGTGTGGACAAGATACGTGCATTTCTTAACTATTCTGGTGTGCATGTTCTACCTCCTGAGTTTCCTGTGGTAAATAAACATTTAATCCTATGACCATCACTCTGTCACTCAACAGGCAAAGCCATTTCTGTGTCTGTTGGCTGAGAAAGTATATGCAGTGCAAGGAGAAATAATAATACTGCTTTTCAGGTTGAAACCCTCCTATTACGATTTGGTGTCATGGAAGAGGGTTGGAATGGTCCAGGTGGTTCTCGTTCCTCTATGAGGGAACGTCAGCTGCTGCATTTAAAATGATACTTGCCTATTCTCAAAGTCTATGGCTCAAATTTAAAAAAAGTGTGTGTGAAAGGTCTTTGTAAATAACGAAGATTTCTTCTGAAAGCATTAAATTATTATTAATAGGGGCGCCTGGGTGGCTCAGTTGTTAAGCGTCTGCCTTCGGCTCAGGTCATGATCCCAGGGTCCTGGGATCGAACCCCGCATTGGGCTCTCTGCTCTGTGAGAAGCCTGCTTCTCCCTCTCCCACTCCCCCTGCTTGTGTTCACTCTCTTGCTGTGTCTCTCTCTGTCAGATAAATAAAATCTTTTAAAAAAATTACTATTAATAGTTTTGGTTAACGACGAAAAATGGCTTTGACTGGAGGTTGGTGGAGATTTTCTTTACTTCTGGTGGCCCTTTTCCCTTTTAAATGTCAAGAATGATGGCACAAGAGAGTTTCCTTCCCCAGTGGGCCCTTTGGTTCCTTCTAGTTGCCTCCTTTCTCATTTCCTGCCCTTATTATTCCAGGCAAGCTCCAGTGACCGAAGAGCTATAGATCTTCTGAATTTCGAGAGCAGTGAAGTAGGAGCATAGCAGAGAGTGTATGAAAGACAATACGTAAGTCAGACTCCACCTTTTATCCGTTTGCAGACATGTCATGGATCTGAAGTTCCCCAGAGTCACTCCTGCTTTGTTCTGTGATTGTACATGAGGCTCTGCTGCATGGAGGGGCCCTCTAGGCCTTCGAGGGGCCCCAGCTCAACATCAGCCCAGGGAAGGCCAAGTCTGGTTTGGGGAAGGAAGGAGACAGGATTGGACTGGGAAGGCAGCACGGGCCAGGGTGTAGACATGTGGGAAACGAAGGGCCCAAGGAGTAGCATCTGCCAGAGTCGCTGAAGATGATGGAAAGGGTGTTGTGAGCTCTCAAGTCACGTAATAAATCAGGACATTTAAAAGGAAAAAGGGCCATCTGGATTCAGGATTCAGGAAAATCTCTCCTGAGTCTACACCATTTTTCACCTTTAACCGAAACTATACATTGTCATGTAATTGCTTGTAGGAGAAATTATGAGGGAAGGTTCCAGGGGCGGGGGGCCTAGGGTGCCATTTGGGCCCAGGACTTTTCCTGTTTTCTGGAATTGGTTGTGATGGAGGCTCTCTATCTGGGAAGATTGTGGCTACCCAGCGTGCGCTCTGCTCTGCACTTGGACGGCCTGGGGCTGTGTCATCGGGCTTGCCGGCCTGCCATGACGTGAAGGGTTTGCTCCAGAACCAGACCAGCACACCATTGCTTGTGTTGAGAAACAGTCTTGACCAAGAGTGAAAATCCCCTGCATGGGATTGCGCTCTTCCTGGTGCTGGTTGTTTGGCATCCTGAAACACAATTCCCATCTCTGTGTACATACGCAAACAGGAGAGTGCTTCGTGTTGCTTGTTTTTAGGCTGGATAAGAAGGGTATATTGCACATAGCATTCTGCAGGTTACATTTACTTAGTTGTGTTGTTCACATTCACTTGTTGCATGTGAACCTGGGGGGCTCAGTCGGTGAAGCATCTGCCTTCAGCTCAGGTCATGAGGCCAGGGATCGAGCTCCACATCGGGCTCCCTGCTCAGCGGGGAGCCTGCTTCTCCCTCTGCACCGCCCCCCTACCCCCCGGCTTGTGTTCTCTCTCTCGCAAAAATAAATAAATAAAATCTTCTAAAAAAATCTATCACATTTTATCTGTTGCTCCACTTCCTTCCAAAATTGGGTATTTTGTTGCCAGTCTAATGGGTATAAGATAGTATATCACTTGGTCTTAGTTTGCATTTTCCTGATTAATAGTGAGGTTGAGCATTTTTCTTTTTAGTATACTTTGGAGAACAGAGTTTGTGATTTTAATGTAGACAAAATTTTCAGTCTTTTATTGTATGGCTAATGGCGCTTTTCTTCGTTTCTGGTTTTTTTTTTTTTTTTGGTTTTGTTTTTTGAAATACTGTCTAATACTCCCTTAACTATATGTGTTTGGTTCATTTTCATTGCTAATCTTTTGTTTGTTTGTTTTGATTGATTGGTTGAAGTTTTTGTTGATTTGTGTTCTCATTCAGTGTTCTTTTCTCTGCGGGTTTGGAATGCATTCCGTTTCTTTCCTTCTGTGATTACCCTGAAAGTACACTGTGCATGCTTCATGGTTTTGAAGTCAATCCGTAGTTAAGTTGTTGCTCTCCCCTCTCAGAATAGTATGAAACTTGTAGGACACCTCATGAACAGTGTCTCCTTCTGTTCTCATGCCTTCCTTTCTGTGTTTCAGTTCTGTGTTTTGCCGGACACATCAGACTATGGTTACCCGTTAGAGATGCTATGTTTAATTTCATATTTCCACCATGTCTTGCATCTCTTCCCTTCCTCCATCCTGTACCTTTCCCCTGGTGAGAGGTGCCTCCTTCAGAATTGTCTTCCCTCAGAATCACTGAGTGGTAGCTTCTCTTGACTTTGGTTTATGAGAACATGTGTTCATGTTGCTGTCCCAGTTCTTAGCTGACAGCCACTGTCTGGCAGCATCATGAACATACTGCTCATCGTCCTACGGCTTTCGTTGTTTCTCTTGGGAAACCACAGTAGGTCTTTCATCGTCATTCTTTGGTAAATGGCTTAGCTTATTTTGAGATCACTTACTTGTCATTGGGGCCCTGCAGTCTCCCTGCCCTGTGTCTGTGTGCGGCTTTCTGGTTTTTATACTGTTTGTATTTGCCGTGTGTCGTGTATCTGTAGATTCATACCATTCATTGGCTCTGAAAATTTCCCAGCTATTAATGCTCTGAATGCTGTCTCTCTCCCCTCACTCTATTTGCTCCTTCTGGTTTTGATAAGTAGATGTTAGAGCTTCTCTTTTTCTTCTCTGTGTCTTTTAATTTGTAATTGGTATTTTCTTCCCTGTCCTTTTTTTCTGTTTGATTTTAGGTAATTTCTTAAGATTTAGCTTCCAGTTCAGTACTTTTCTCTTCAGTGCTGTTGAATTTTTTATTTAACACATCCTTTGAGTTTTTAATTTCAATGATTATATTTCTTAATATTTTTAAAAAGTATTTAATTTATTTGAGAGAGAGCATGAGCAGAGTGAGAGGGAGAAGCAGGCCACCCACTGAGCAGGGAGCCTGATGATGGGCTCGATCCCAGGACCCTGGGATTATGACCTGAGCCGAAGGCAGATGCTTAACCACCTGAGCCACCGAGGCCCCCTATTTCTTCATCTTGAAAAGCTCAATTTCTGCTTCCAATCTGCTGAATATATTTAGTGGTCTCTTTTTTTGCTTGCTCATTTTTTTTCCACCTCCATCTTTCATATCTGTAAGCAACACCAAAGAGAGTGTTCCATATTCTGTATCGGATAATGCCAGTAAATCTGTGTTTGTGGCTTGTTACCTAGTGTCCATGGTGAGCTTTGATTTTGTGGTCATATTTGTTTGATAATTATATGGCAGAATCCTGAGGTCTTGTTGAAATTTGTGTGTGTTTGTCCTCGGAGCCAGGGGGGTGCTACAGAGTCAGGACCATGTTCGTTTCCTTTGGGAATCCTGGACTCTGGTTGGGTTTTCCCTCCCTGCAGAAAGCAGAGGGTCTGGATGCCCCATCCCATTGCTGGTATTCACCTGGCCTCCACAGCAACTGCCGCTCTCTTCCTTGCTCAGATTTCAGTGCGCTGTCCCTGCCGTGTCTTCCTGGTGTTTGTTTCTCTAGCTGGAGCTAGCCAGTGTACTAGAAAGTATTCCCAAAATTAATTTATTCAGAACCTAATTCCAGCATAGCAGATGGGCCCTTCAAATACCTAGTCCACCGTAATTACTAAATTAGTAGTACCCAAGCAATACTTCACAGTCAGTTTTCTGTATGTGCCCTTTATCAATTTTCTTCAACTCTTAGAACTTTACCGGTACATTACTTTGTTTTACTCATGGCTACAGGGTAGCACGGTAGCGATCTCCTTGAGAGCTCACTAATCCATATCGACACTCAAATCACATACTATGGCCTTAAACTTTTGCCTGTGTTGGGTTGTTTGGTTTTTTTCCTAGTTAATCTACTAATGCACTAATTCTGGTTAATTTACTAATATTCCCTTCTTTGGAAATTCAAATCTCTACTTTTGGAATAATTCATAAGCACAGAGTTCTTATTCACTGCTCCTTTCTTCTGCTTCTCCGTGTCTACTGTTAGAGTGTCATTTTTCTTTTTATCCAGAATCCTGGGTATAAAAGATTTAGTTGTGGATCTCTGCCTGTGGATGCCTTTCTCCCTCACGTGGAGTGCAGAAAACAGGTGTTTACCATTGTGAATTAGAAGAGGCGTTGTCTCCCCAAACCCCCCTGTCCTTACATTGCACGTTCCCTTAATCGGCACAGAAAACAGCATGTCTTTGATCTGTAAAACGTCAAGTTGCCTTGGGCATCAGCACATGAAAACAGGTTTTGTTTCAAAATGGATGCCAACCGAGATTGCTGATTTCATAGTTTTTTAATTCATTCTACAGCAGAATCATCACCTGTGGGCTGCCGCACTCTGACAGGTGTGTGTGGGTTACAGCTTTGGCATGGGAGTGCTTTGGGAGGCGTGTCTGCTCCGGAACATCTTCATGCTCTGTAGGTTGCAGGGAGGATTTTTGTAACACCAGTGTAATCATAAAAAGGCAGGCACTGGAAACATTCTTGGGAAACGCTGCACTCTGTGGCTAGAAATACTCTGAAGGAGTGGCTCTGTGCTTTTCCTTGGAAACCAGAAGCATCAGATGATTCTGTGGCTTTTCCTCCCGTGGACAGCAGTTACGTAGTCTGTGTCCTCATGTTTTGGGTTCTTGTTGGCTGTCAGTTCAGGCGCTAGGGAAGGTTTTCGCTTTCCAAGTGGTGTGGTTAGCTGAGCACTCCAGAAGCTTCTCCCGGGGAGCGGGGCAGGAGATGCAGAAGAGCTGAGGAGCTGCCAGGGGTGGCCGGTGCTTCCCAAGGAGCCACCGTGCAGGAGCGCACGCTGCCTGAGCGCGCAGAGAGGGATCGAATCCCCGTTCTGTCCCTTGTTCCTGGGCCCGGGCAGTGACTGGGTAGAGCGGCCGCTGGCCCTTTGGACTTCCCCATTCTCCTCTTTTACGGTGAACAAGTGTCCTTGGGAGGCTGAGATTTGGATCATTAACATGATTTTAACACAGTCACCCGAATGCAGTTTCTTGCTGCGAAGTCTTGACTCTGGTCCTATCAGAGCGATGCAGAGAGACAGCCCAGGAACGCGGGCTCTCACATGTCCTTCTCAGGGAGGGTGTGAAGAACTGGGGTTTGACAGTCTTGTCAAGACGAGTCTGCTCATCAGGCCCCGTCGTGTGACCCCGAGCAGTGCTTTGTGGCACGTCGTGCCCCATGCCCCGTGTCTCATGACCTTGGCCCTAACTGGGCTTGTCTAGACCATGAATGGTTGGCTTCTCCTCTGACTCAGCACAGGACACTTGGCCATTCATAGCATTTTCCTCCTTTCCCACATGAGGTAATGAACTTATCTATTTCTAAATAAGGTTTTGAAAAGCAGGCTTATTTTTGGCACCTTCTTCTCTAACTTGACCTCCCTCCCACTCAGCAAATTCACATCCAAATGCT